AAAAAAAAATAAAGTAGAAATAGAAAAAAAAAAAAGAAAAAAAAAAAAGAAATAAACTCCAAGCTGCTTCTGACAGAGACAGAGAGAAAAGAAGTCTTTAATTGAGATAAAGGAGGAGATTGCAGTGCTTTTTCTCTTCTATACTTACCCAGGCCCAAGTACTAGGGGCAGGATCCAGAAATTGCCCTTGCTGGTTTCTAATGAAACTAGTGACATGTGTTTTCTTCAAAGTAAAGAATTTAAATAAGTTCTGCTTATTTTTCCTTAAAGTCATAAAGGGATGAGAGTTGCATGCTTGCTGTGTTTAATCTTCTTTTCCAAAACAATGATTTATTTTTTAAAAATAATATGGTATAAAAACTTTCAGTTTTCAAGAACAAACAAAACTCTAGAAAATGTGAAGTCTTTTTCATTAGAAGTCATTTTAACTCAGAAGCCATTTTTTCCTCATGATCTTGATGAAAAGAAAATGAAACAATCTCTGGATCAATAATGTTGAAAACAGTAACAGTCCTGGATGCATGTTGTTTTCTGATGTGCTTTCATGTCTGAGTAATTCTGCATGCTATAAATGTTAGCCCAACTTACACTCTGGCTTCAGCCTCAAATCAAACAAGTGAAAAAAAGAAAGAGTTCTTTAAATGCAGTAAGGCTTGGAAATAACCTTTTTTTTTTTTATAAATGCCAACTTGTCAAAACATTGAAGGAAAATATTGAAGTGTGGCAGTGTGTTTCCAGTTTGTCTGTTGCTGAATGCCTTTTCCTATTGAATAATCATTTCTTCTAGCGTCTAAAGCAGAGGTTCATTGTATGCAATGTATTGCTGTCATGCCACAAGGCATAAAAAAAAAAAAAAAAAGAGAGATTAAAATTATCCTGAGGAAACCAAATCACTTTATTTCAGAGACAAATTAGATTGATGTATCTTACCATTCTCCATAGATTTCTTCATAAGCATATTACGCGTTGAAGTGGTACCAGACATTTTATATATTATAGCAATTTGCATACGTTCATTAGGCTGTACTTTGAAAGGCTTACTGACACGGGCATTTGATGAATCTTTTTTGTGAACCGCGTTGTGCCTTTACACTGAGCAATCTGTTAAATCGCGCCTTTGTCCTTGAGTTTGTCACTACTGGTGAGCGGAGCAAATGGTAACAACTGGGGGAAGGTTTGGGGGGTTCCTTTGGTCTTTGCCCAACATGGGGTAACTGTGGAGGGTGTGATGTGCTTGTAAAAGTGGTGGTGTTAAAGACAGAACAGTGCTCCAATTAAATACTTTTCCATGTGCGATTTTAATACGAGATTAAAAGTTCCAGAAATTTTTTGGAATACTCATACAAGTGTCCATAAATACTTATAATACTCATAAAATAATACTCATAAAAGTGGTTCTGAAATAGGAGCACGGGCATGTTAGGCATAGCAAATCTACGTGTATACTTACATAAAATTGTCTTTATCTTTTATTGCAAACTCTGTGTTATGCAGCTATCTTACCCATGCAATAATTCATACAATGTCTTTATAAATATCTCATAAGCAGTCCTCAGGTTAATAATCCCTTCAGATGTTGTCTTCGGGCAATATTGTTTCTGATCTTATCATGTCAGTAGAATTTTAAACCCGGTTCAGGGTTTGAACGTTATCTTTTGCAACAGAAGTTTTGCTGGATTTGACAATCTCAAAATAAAGATTAACCCCTGGAGTCTACAACTCATTTTAAGATGAGCAACTTAACTTAAGATTCTTGCAGGGAGGGAATCACAAACATCTAGGTGGTTGCAGTGGTTGAGTTGACAAGTGGTAATGCCCGTTACGTTGTGGTAACTTGAGTGTTTGTGGCCTGTAGGGTCTTGGAGGGAAGGCCTATAATCATGCAGTCATGAAAAAAAGCATAAGAGATGAGAGGGGGTAAGTTGGGAAAGTGCAGGGGATTAATCTATGTGCATAAAGAACTGTTGCAAGAATAACTGATGGCGAAGGAAAAACAAAAATGGGAGAGAGTACCGTAGAAAATAAAGGGTAAGCCACCCTCTGATCTTGCAGTTGTTTCTTATCAGTCTTACCTAGTAAATAGCTCCCACTGCTTTTAGTGGTGATATATGGCTGATGTTCACATTAACTGTGTTCTCTTTGTGATTTCTGTATTCCCTATTGTGGAAATCTCCTTTGGGGAATAGGGGATGCAAAGGGCAGAGATAGCAGTGTTATTCATGCCTCTCTGGTGGAATCTGAATTTCTGAGCCTGGCTTGTCCATAGCTGCATCAACAGCAGGAAGGGCAACACAGTCGATAGACTGAATAATCCTGAAAATTGTCATGTTTATATGGATTGCCTCAAACTATGTAGGGAAGACCAGTCAGGGATTTCTGTACTTGTTGTTCTTGTACACAAAAGTAATCAGCAGCTACAAATCAACGAACTGTTGCTGTTGTAAAAAGAATTGACAAAATCTCTCATGCAGTTGCTGTATCAAAATTCCTACTGCTTCTCAGAAAGAACTTTATCTTTCTGACTGGTTATTTTACAGGAAAAAAAAAAAGAGCAATGAAATAATTACCCACACTGATATTTACATTTCATCCCTCTTCTTGAAAACTACAGCGTAGTGAAAGAAGCAAAGGGAGCCTGGAGCTCCTTTGGTGGCCCCAGCCCTTGGAGAAGGTGATGCTGGCCCTTCAGTTGGATGTAGCACATAGTTGCTCCCAGCCAGGTGCCCATGGATTCACATTGCACGTGGGCTGCTTGGCATCTGACTCATCTCTCTGTGCTGGGATGATTCACCAGAAATTTGCCTGCTCCAGAAATCATGCTGCGGGTAATGGTGATGCAACTGTGGGCAAAAGCTCAGGGAAAATTGTAGGGAAGGGAAAGAGGCAGGACACTTTCTGATGTGGGCTATTTTTCAATATTTATTTATTTATTTTTTGTAAGAGCTGTAGCTGTATGACAGTGTTGTGTGGAACAGTATTTCCTGTTGGAGGTTTCAGATACTTATGCCTGTAGTAGCTATGTGTGATGGTCAGAAGTTGATGTGGTCTTCTCAGAAGAAGTCATTGAACAGGTCTTAACTTGGGCAAGTGACCATTAARAACATATGAACTAATTTTTCCTTTTTTTTTTTTTTTTTTTTTCCCCTCTTTTATGCCTTCTAATGGTGTGGACTTTTCCTTGTTTTGTTTTTAGCTTTCTTAAGCACATTAAACTTATCAAATGTACTATTTCCTATGTCATTATAATGCACTGCTTTTTTTTTATGTGGTTTCCTTATTCATGCCAGTGTTTTGTTGTAAATTAGAGGCAGAATATTGCTTAGATGTACATAGTTTTTTAGCATTTTTCTAATACATTTATATTTTGTGCTATGCCACTGACAGTCCTGCATATTGAATATGTTGATTTTGTTCTTTCATTATAGATGGTTCTAGCAGAATTGGTATTCCGAATTACGATGCGTTTTCTGAAGCAGTTTTGTACTAATTTTGAACTCCTGTGTGGAAGATGCATAAGAAGCTATGCAATGTTATATATATCTTAGATATAATATCCTGTAAATTATCATAGCAGTTCATCACTTTTATCACCCACATGTCTCTTGTGATGTACAGTTGTGGAAGGACTAGCTTGTAAACACATTTCTAAATAGTAATTTTACACTGTGACTTTTTTTCTCTTTTCTTTTATGTGCTTAAGCCATTTACTTTTAGTGAATTTTTAAAATATATATTATCTCTGTTGCAGATTTGGACTCTGAACCTGAAGCAATTCTTGGTTACATGCTTAAAACTTGGAAACTATCTGCAATAAATAGGTATGTGCATTGGATAAATTCATATTTTCTGTTAGATGATTCAGCGTGTGTGTAAGTTTTGTTGACAGTTTGATGTTGAACTTCTTAAAGCTTTTGATAAATCTCAGCTGCCATGAATAGGACAGTATGATAGATCTTTGTGGGCTGAATTTTCAATAGCACATGTGGCATTTGTATGGCAGAAATTGGGTAGTGTATGATGCTCACCATTACTCAGAGAGAAATGTGTACTCAAACCTACAAATTTGACTTTACACTGAATAAAAAGGTGAGTTTCCATGAGCAGATAAGTATTTTTGAAAGTAAAGTCTGTGAACTGGATAAAGAAATAGCTCTATTATTAATGATCGTGTGTTTAAGAGTATGCTTTAATATACGTTTCCCACTAAAGGTAACAAAAGTATAAATGTGAGTAAAATACTGAGAAAAAAAAGGCCACAAGGAGTAAAAACTTGGGCATGCCAAAGTTGCTGGAAATTTTCTCAAGGATTTCAGTGAATCTGGTATCCCATTTGGAACTTTAAAAGAAAACATGCAGAGAGTTTCAGACATACATTCTTGCATATAGTGCAGCAATTTTTAGGTGATTTGGTTTTTAAAAACCAGGTCACACCTAATGGAGTGCTTGACATGCTGCTGAGCTACTAGCAATGGGGAAAGGGAAACAAGAAAAGATTTGGAAGGTTTTATTCTTTATGGAGAATTTACAGATCTAAACAATCTTTGCATTTTCACTCCAAAGAGCAGCTGTTTAATCAAATGGATGAGTGTGATGAGCTTAATTTGATTGGTGTAAGAAACTCAGAAAAGATTTGTAGTGATGAAGACTGAAATGTTCTTAAAATGTAGGGCAAGTTCTTGACACTGGGGACACCTACAGAAAAGAAAGATTGGGGAGTAAGTTGAGAATTAAAGTGCAAGGTATTGCTATAGTGTATTTCATCTGTAGGTCCTGAGACATTTAACAGAGACTGGAGAAGGACCATAGCCTTCACTTTATGTATGGAGTCCTGTACTTGCCTGCATCACTGTATTTATGATACGATTAGCACATGTTCAGGCAGGTGTCCATTGGAGGGTCCTATGTCTAATAGTGCTTTCATGCTGTTTGCAGAAGGTCTCAGAAATGTTTCTGGTCGTGTTTACCAAATCTGATAAAGTTCTATTTTATTTTCTCTTCTGCTCCTTTGTCATGCTTTCCCATGTCTTTGGTTTTCTCCTCTTTTTTTAGTTCATTTTGAGTCTCTGGAGGTTGGCAGCAGAGGAGTCTTGCACAAGGAGGAGCTTTAGGGGAAAAAAAAAAGAAAAACATAGCAGAAGGAGCTTTGCTTTTTACCAGCTCTCTGGGGAGCCTGCTGTAAAAGGAAACTTGCTGTCCTTCCCGTAAATTTTCTTTTGTGGCCAGCTCTGCTGGGCGTCCCCTTTGTGTCCTGCGAACATCTGTGCTGCAGCTTATGTCCAAGCCCAATTGGAGAACAAATGTGTGAATCTGCTGCTTATTCTGAGCAGGAAGCTGCTGCTGTTAGCAGGGCAGGTGGCCTTGGCTCACCTGTGGCTGCTAATCCTGGTCGGGGAGGAAAGCGTCCGCCTGTCCTCCCCCCTGTCTCCATATTCCGTGGAGAGGCATGTTTCCCTGTTGTCCTTCAGGCACTTCCCAGTGACTGCAGTCACTTTCTCCATGAATTTTTCCCAAGACGTCCTGTGGTAGGAGGAGAGCAGCGAGCACTGTGTGGCTTCCATGGCATGATTTGTTTTCCATTGCTCCTGGGAACTTCTGCCTGCGTGCACAGAGTCATCCAGGCACCACCCAAGGACACCACCCTTCTGCTTAAGGAAGAAATCCTTAAGCTGTGAAGCATTCGGGCCGCAGCTCAGAGGGTGCTAGGGCACAGGGGAAAAGTGGCTTTTTCCCTTGGAAAGCTTGGAGACCCCAGGAAAAGACCTGTGCAATTTCTGAACACAAAACAGCTCATTGAGCGTAGTTTGTGAACCTCAGCTCAAACAGCTGCCCTAGCAGACTTGCCTAAAGCAACCCTTTGCTTTGAGGGGAGAATAAAAGAAGAAAGCAGCAGTGCTGCCCTGTTTGCAGAAGCGCTTTCCCACTTGAGCTTGTTCAGCAGCATTTGCAGAGCACGGGTGACAAGCTGCAGTCTTTGTGGAGTGTGTGAGCGTTGGGGAGAAAAGCTAAATCTGTTGTGCCAAGCTGGCTCCGGCTTCTGCTTCAGGGTTTGGTGACAAGCCTGGAAGGTGTGGAAGTGTCTGTGAAAAAAAACAGGTATGATGGCAAGCAATGAAGGGAACTTGGTGGTGGGAGGAAGCTGGGGGACATGAGGTAAGTCTGAATTAGCATCTATCAGTTCAGGAACGAGTGTGGCTGGTTTAGCAAGAGGATGCACCAAGTAAGCAACTTCCCTCAGATGTTTGGGTTGGAAGGACTCAGAAATAACAAATCTCCCCAGTTGACATTAACTGAAATAGCTACTGGACAATTTTATTTTCCTTCCCTTTTAATAAATGAGCTCTGTTTGGATGAAAGTTAAGTGAGTTCTGGAGCTCTCCACACCAAGTTTGAAGTTGGCTCCTTTCTCTCCAAATCTCTCTGCCAAGGGCATCCCAATGCATTGCAGGCAACTCTGTGCACGTGAATCCTGTAGTATGTGCAGCTCCATGTCCTGCCCGTTTGTGTGTGCACTTGTTACTGAGGGGAGGATTGGTCTGGCTGATTGCACAGTGGGGAGTGCTAATCAGCTTAAAACTCCAGCAAAAAATCTGGCCCTCTTTAAACGCTGGTGAACAACTGTCTGTCTGCCATCTGCAGCAGCCTTTGCAAAGCAGCAGAAGAGCTGCAAGGTTTGTGTTCTGAAACCTCAGAGAAATAGATGACATGCTCCAATTTATTTCCTAACAGCATGCAAATCTGAGACGTTAAACATAGAAATTGACCTCAAACTGTGTCAAATGGGCAGTTTATCCATAAGGCCTGCATCTCAACCATCCACATGGCAAAACCAAAGCCTCTCTCCCGTGCCATATCAGCACGCAAGTGCTGAGGTCCCTAGGACCAAGTGACCTCCTGTGGCGCCGAGGTTGTCCCTGCACAGCACATTGTTGTGGCAGGGTGACCTAGGCCACAGCGAGGTTTTGTGAGCCCCATGCAGCAGCAGGGAGGGCGACTGAGCACCCTGCAGCTGTGGGTCGCTCCTAAGGCTCCTCTGGAGCTACTGGCTGGCTGGTTTCCTCCCTTTTATTTTTCTGGGCTGTGAGGTGGGAAGCTCTACCAGGCAGTGCCAAGGGTGAACTAGTGTTTCCTTAAACAGCACCACGCTGGAATATCTGAGCGAGGCGGCCGCGTTCATGTGAGAGAGGGGGATCTGGCTGCAGCTGCTGTTGTGATGTGCAAGCTCCTCAGGGCCACGTCCTGCAGGCAGAAGACAAGATCCCCAGCCAGAAGGTCTTTTGAGCCCCAGCACACAGATGTTTTGTCCATTCTTCGTGTTGTTTCGGCCTCCGTCCGAAAAAGATCTCAGTGAGCTTTGGATCAGACTCCCAGAGCAGCCGGGAAACAAAGCAAGGCTGTGCATTAGCCAATACTTCTGGACAGCAGCTGTTTGGTTTGGTTAGAGAAGGTGTCAGCTTTTAGTGCTTCCCAGCTTCTTTTTAATTTGCCCTGTGCTTCCTCAGCTGGGCAGCACACTGTATGTGGTGATGTGCATCTCTGCAGCAAGGCTATTTTGTTTATCAAAGTTCCACGAAGAAGTTGCACATTAAAACATTTCCAAACGGGCTCCATGCTCCCCCTGTTCATCTTCCTTTGCAGTGCTAGGAAATGCATGTTTGCAGTTGGTGGTTAGTAGCACATCGCTGTGGTACAGGGGATCTGGGAGCAAAGCCTCCCCCGGACTCCCTGGGAATGCTGTGCATGAGTCACCTTGCTACGTGCGCCCTGTGTCCACAAGTAATGATGCTCTCCGTTGCAGATCGAGGATGTCAGTAACCTGCTACACAGCTGTCAGGCCTGAAAATTTAAGCACCAATAAGCAGCTTAGAAATAGTGTTGTTTAATATTTGCTACCACTACAATACCAGAAATTCTAAACACAAATGTCACGCTAATTGCAAGCAAGTGAAGGCAACCTTTCTGCATATATTGTTTAATGTCTTTAGGGTACTTCATAAAGAGACAGTGCCCTGAGGACCAGAGTGGATGTATTTCACCCTAGGGAACCCACCTAGCTGATTGTCACCCTTGGCACCTCCCAAAGCATCACGCATATCACTACTCATGGCGCATGCCTATTATGAAGACAGTAAATGTTCAACTTCAAGTTAGTTTTTTATTTACTTATTTATTTTCCAAACAGTAAAGAAGTGGATATGATCTGCTATTGATTCTCTTATGCCTTTTTACTTTGCTTGCTTAAGGAAACTGCTGTGGGATTGGATAGATAAGCACATGCGCAGATTAGTAGTTTCTGTAGAAATGATAATTGTGCATTCTGCTTCTTGCCCCAGTGTGAGTGAGCAATGTGCATTACTATTCATTACACAATGACTGGGGCTGTAATCTTTCACACACAAAAGTGTGTGGTAGTCAAATGTAGCAACACAGGAACTAAGTACCAATATTTTGTAAAGACAAGGTGCAGAACGCAGCGTATCATAAATTGATCCCAGGAGGACAGACCTAGAATTTAAACTGTAGTGCTTTGAATATATGCACGTTGTAATTGTATTAAACACTTTGCAGCAATTTGTATTGTATTACAGCTGACAAAGTATTTTACCTCCTAGTAACTAAGTGAATACCACTGATATTTATTTCCATATTTATAATTACATTAATTGCTTTGTGTATTAATAACAAACAGTACTAAGTGTCATAGCCCAAGCTGTATCTGCCAGTAATCCACATGCAATTTGTTTTCATATTCAAAATATAAAATTAAGCAGTAACTACCCTTTTTGCAAATGTGCATATTGATAACTTTCTATAGAAAAGC